ACTCTCGTTGTCACATCTGTGACGAATAACAGACGGCTTTGTTCGCCGGCTACGGTTGCCGTTAACACGTGCCGGCTTGGAAGTTTCCCGAATTGCTTTTCGAATCAGTCGGTTTCGTGTTGGGAAAATTGCAGGGTTTTCTGCAATTTCTGGAAAACTTTCCATACTGGTTATGATACCAGCACCAGTCGGGGTTATCTGTCTCTCGTGGTCTAGAGACAGATCGCTTACGAGAAATGCTTCTACGTGGTGTGCGCGATCTCTTACGGTCGGTACGAAGACTAAGATAACGCATGAGTGTGTGACATAAGTCGGTTATATCATTCTGAGTCGTTTGAGGTTTTTCTTTGACTGAAAATACCTCGGTAGTAGAGGGTTTCGTAATTTCTAAAATGCGGTCGGCAGATGCAGCTAGCTCGTCTAAGGCGTTGTTCTGGAACGAGACCAGAACTGCTTGCACCTGTTGGGGAAGTTTTGACAAGAAGAGTTGTTTGAATAGACCTTCGTCGAAAGTTCTTGGGCCTATTACCTCTCTCATCCGTTGCAACATGTCTGTCGCAGAACCGTGTAGCAGGTCGATATTGTTGAAGAGTTGATCTAACCTTTGTCGATCGGTTAGGTCTCCTCGTTTAAGAATCGAGCGTTTTAAGATTTCGTAAGGATCGGAAACATCACTAGTAAACATACTAGGTGTTACGTACCTGTTGAATTCGCGCGGTAGTGCCTTGACTACTGCGAGGAATTGTGCACGTGTGTCGATCACGCCGTGCTGGGAGGAGTCGGCTTCTGCGTAGCAAAACCAAGCTTCGATGTTGTCGGGCCAGAAAGGCATCAGTTGAAACGAAGGTGGGGACAAGGTCTTAAGCTTGAGTAATTTAGGTGTCTGTTCAGTCATGATGAAATATGAAGTACGATAATGAACGAGGGGAAAATATATATATCCAGGAATAACACGAAAAAAATCACAATGTTTAAAAAAAATAAAAAAATAAGGCAATGATATATAAAAATCCCAAAAAGGAACAGACACACAGTTGCAATTAGGTGTACCAGATCACTTCGGTTTCACCAATGATGATGTCACAGGTATTCAGTGTTTGACAACGCTTCTACCAGTAACACCTTCTAATATATTTCGTTCCCGCCCAGAGAAATCAAAAGACAGAGTCGAGGAGATCGGAAGAGTATATTTGGCGATGACCAATATATCGGAATTCTCTGATCTAATGTGGCTAGCGATTGCGGTTGATGTTGAGCACGGCGTTACCACAGGTGATCTGGTGCGGATGCATGACCGAGCGCCTTCAGCTAGATGAGTCCACTAAAACATATGGTCAGCATCCAATGTCGAAAACTAAGGGCTATATATTTTGGGGATTTATTTACCGCTACAGGAGTTTCTCAACTGCTAGGTCTTAACGGCCCGACCAACAACGATGGCGACGCCGCTAACCTTCTGGCGGCACATTACTCTCAAACATTTCAACCGGCCGACATCAACTTTATTGACGACAGTTTCATCTGCAATTCCACAGGACTTTCTGAAGTGGACCTAAGCGCTGACTTGGTGTTCCGGAAATTGCAGCACTTAAGACTTGACACTTCTCCTGGCCCGGATATGGTTCATCCTGCCATACTGAGGGAGGCAGCCTCACGCTTAGCGTGATGTTTTCACACTCGTTTAGCCGAGGCAAATTACCGGAAAATTGGAAGTTGGCTCACATCAGACCAATTTTCAAAGGTGGTCGGCACAATGAACCTTCAAGTTATCGGCCGGTGGCTCTTCTGTCATTACCTTCAAAACTCATGGAGTCCCTGATATGCTACGGTTTAAATGACTATCTACTGTCCTTAAATTTCTTCTCACCCCAACAGCATGGTTTCAGGAAGGGTTACTCTTGTAGTACCAATCTGCTGACTGTGGTGGACAGATGGACAAGCATCCTAGATCACAAGGGGAAGGCTGATATCATCTACCTAGATTTCTCAAAAGCTTTTGATAAGGTTAACCATACATGTCTTATCAATAAGCTCAAACGATTGGGTATCAGACCACCTCTAATCGATTGGCTTACTTCATACCTGAAAAATCGACATTTTAAGGTCAGGGTTAATTTCACTTTATCTCAGGCTATGAAATGTCCTAATGGGGTCCCCCAGGGCTCAGTACTAGGGCCTCTTCTCTTCTTGATCTACATAAATGATCTTCCTCAACAGGTAACGTCAGACTTATTACTTTTTGCCGACGACGTGAAACTTTGGAGAGAGATACGCAACCAAGACGATACACAGGCACTTCAGGAGGATCTGACGCGACTTCAAAGTTGGGCAGACGATAACGGACTTACCTTTAACACTTTAAAGTGTAAAGTAGTCCATCTGCGACATGTCGCAAACTACAGTTACAACTTAGGAAACTCCTCTCTAGTAGTATCCCAAGTCGAAAAAGATATAGGAGTCCTGGTGCCCCATGACTTAAAGTCTTACGCTAACTGTGACAAAAATGCCTTCCGAGCAAACCTTGCACTGGTAACGTTGAGGCGCATTTTCGGCCAGTTTGACGGAAGAACTTTCCACACAATCTTCAATAGTTTCATCCGTCCCCATTTAGAGTACGGAAACATAGTACTCCCCCCTCACTCCAAAAGGACAAGGTCACTTTGGAGCGTATCCAACGGCGAGCCACGAAATCAGTTCGAGGACTCAAATCTAAGCCTTACGAAGAACGCCTCCGTTCACTAGACCTTTACCCACTAGAATATAGGCATCTTAGAGGTGATTTATTAATGGGTTATAGTATTCTTAACACTTCTGGACATCCTCTTAAACACCTACTTAAGCTTAGTTCGAATAATAACCTAAGGGGTAACAACCAGAAACTGGAAACACAACATAGCAAGACGGAATGTAGACACAACTTCTACTCCTTAAGAGTTGTCAAAAGCTGGAATTCGCTGCCGGCCGAGCTAGTCCAAGCGACTTCTTAGGAGTCCTTCAAGAGGCAACTTGACCTATTCTTAAGAACCAAGGACAGCATCACACTATGATTTACCAATTTCTTTTCCTCTTTTATTGTTAACATCCCTAGGTCCCTGCCTGGAGGATTTCGTGATCCCCTGCTACTAGACACGGAAGCCTGTTAAGCGAAAGCTTCTTCTATTCGTCCACAACCATTTGAACCATTTGAAAACCGTACGAATTGTCGGGGTGACGCACCAATCTTAAGATTGTAAAATTCTTTACAAGTTTGACCTTAAACTGCTCAGTAACCCCCATTAGTCGACGATACCACTGAATCGTTGCTGCATTGTGCAAGTGGCAGTTTATGTTGGATGGTCGAACTTCTAGATGACTTGCATATATTCACTCGTGATCCCAATCTCCCAAGTTTGAGGTATTTTGGGGAAACTCCCGGCGTCAAATGACCTTCACCAAGGTTAAAGGAAAATTTTCCGAGGTCTGGGAAAAATTTGTGGGTTTAAATGCCATTCCATCAAAGTTTACTATAGCGGCTTCCCCAAAACTGGGAGCTCGGGATGCACAACCCTTTTTGCCAAAACACCTGAAACGTTTCCCCTAGTGTTATCGTAGAACTCGCGGTAACCTTATATTGGCATCTTGCTTCGGTCTGTACACTCGAGCAGTATCTCAGCCAACACACAAATCAAGTGTGCGGTGCCCCTATGTGCCAATATTTACGTTTAATTCAATAAATCGTCTACTAATATTGACACTTGCACAAGAAGACAAAGAATAGAAGGTGGGGGAAGTCGTGCTTAATTGCCGTTATTAATTAAAATTTTGGTAGCCTTTAGGTTGTTTCATCAGTTTATTTATGAGTAAGCTTCTGTATAAGGAGAATATATATGTGTAACACCAGTTTTCAACTTGCTTTTTACTTGTCACAAATCGTTTCCCGATTCTTTACTGATTCAGAAATTTTTCTAACACCTTAACAAACAAACCAAAAAATGAGTGGTAAAGCAGTTTTGATGCAGTGAAGCTGTTCTCATTGTTTTCCACTTCTTTATACATATTTCGTATTAATTCCCCACTCATTTTGATTGTGCTTGAATTCGCGATCTCGTGGATCATTTAAAACTTCTGGTGATGACAGTCTTCTGTTTGGTACTTGCTTTAAGTCTCTAGATTATGTATCTACAACTCCATAACTTTCAAAGAGCTTATTATAGTCACCTATTTCACATTTTCTATTTTTTGTCTTCGGGATTTACATCTTGGCATTTTGAGATGAAATTTAGGTTGGACTTTATTTCAGAGCTCACTTCTGTTGTTGGTATGTTTGTGAAAGTCCATATCAAAAATGCTTCTGTAATAGCCTATTCTGCTGCAGCAATAACGTGTCATCTACTAAATCATCTGTTCTAAAAAATATGCACATCAGCAACTAATTACTTTCTGGCTTTTCGAAAAAACACTCATCTGGAGAGCACTTTACATGTTGATATTAGGTTCAGCCTTTCTATCGTGATAACATACTTAACATCCGAAAAGACGTTTTGTTTGTCATTCATCTGATGCTTAGTCACCATGGCCTTTTTCATATTTTCCCGTTATTATGTTATTTTGTCCTCTAATTGTATTGTGTTACATGTTAACTTTAAACTGCTTTCAACTTTTTTGTACTGATGTGGTGTGTATAATACAGATTATTGAGCTTCATTGGCAGATAAGTTGAATATCCTAACGTTCTGGTTGTTTGCTTAGTTTGTTCAGTACCTATTCAGATTGTCTACTGAATTTAATGCTTCATATTTAACTATTTATTATTTTTAAAGTGAATTTCGCTATAATTTTTGTTTTCTGTTGTGCTTTCATGCTTTGTAGCAGTCTTAACGTACTGTGTGTCCATTTGTTCTTCATATATCGCAAATTTTAGGTTTGAAGGTTTGTGGCTCTGGATTCATGTGTTTTAAATACTATTGTTTAACATTTCTACTTATTAACTGTAGTGAACCGAAAGTTTGTACGACAAAGTGATGTCGAGACCTATCTCTGTAGTAGTAGTTGAAAGACACAATGAGGTAAGGCATTCAATACATTATTCAAGGTTTTAAATTATATATACCGGGCTATTGGAAGCAAAACAATTTCCTTCTCTGGATTGAAGCTATTACATTTTGACTCTCATCCTGATATGGGCATTCCTGATGTTGAATGTTCAGAAATTTTGAGGGACCCTGAACAACTCATGAAGTTTGTTTTGTCGTCTTAACGTTTCTCAAACTCCAGGAAAGTAAGCATAGAAAACTGGATAACACCAATGATATATGCTGGTCATGTTGACCATGTCATCTGGATGCACCCAACGTGGTCTCGACAGCTCCTGAATAGGAAGCCAACATGCTATTCTATCGGTGAAGACCTATGCACGAAAAGATTAGTGTAAGTTGTTTTTTCATCGCACTGAAGCATCATAACATGGTGCTATCTAGTTTATGTGGTGTATGTGGCTTATCATTCCTCGTTTTAACATTTAACGTAAACACTGAAAGATATACAACTGTCACATTAACCCTACCTTTTGATTGTTTCAGTATAAGGATAAGATATAAAATAATACTAGCGGAAAGTACTCACTAGGAACATTTGTATTTATTGCCATCAGAAATGTGTTAATGATGATTTTTATTGTTAATATATTATGCTTATGGTTTTAGAGATCGACCCGCACGAACATTTGTTGTCATATTCATACTACAAAAATGTTAATATCCTGCTATATCATTAAACCAACACAGCATGTTCTGAATATTTTGGACGAAGTGTAGGATGTTTAAAAGTTTTTGCGAATTGGTAATAGTACTTTTGGACTTACATAGTATAACCCATAATTTGTAAGTACAATGTGAACCGGGTAACAGACTTCACTTATCAAGTAGTTACTTCATCCTGATAGTCAACGAAACTCCGGTATTGATATTGCACGGCAGCCTGCATTTTGCTATTCTTTAGTCAGTCAGTAACGACGTAGAACTTCGTACGTACGTACATCAGTTCGAGTTGCCATACCACATTAGCACAGAAATGCAGTGGTCGATTCAAATCCCATAGTGCTAGATGTAGTAAAATTATAAGTTGTAATCAGAAAAATTAAGTTTTGAAGATGTTATTCAATCACAATTGATTGATCACTGGGTGGTGATCAATCTCATGCTTGTCTAGTCCTTATTAGTGCAGATCGAATGCTATCGATCATGTTGCAATGTGGCGTGCCCGCAGTGTCGAGTCACCTAGACTGGTGGCCACATTGCAACATGATCGATAGCATTCGATCTGCACTAATAAGGACTAGACAAGCATGAGATTGATCACCACCCAGTGATCAATCAATTGTGATTACATCTCAGTCCTACAGGAGGTTAGTCACGGCTCGGATAGCTCAGTGGTAACGTCTCTGACTGTGAAGCTGGGTGACACGAGATCGAATCCGCCAGGGAGCACCAGTTCCCTCAAGATTACAGGTACACCTTGCTGACGAGTGCCAAGTAGCACGAAACCCGGGTCCAGGGTTTCCTGTTGACTACCTCCAACCACCATCTAATCTCATGTTATTCAAAGAGTATAATGCAGTGAAATAAATTTGGAAAGAGAAAAAAGAAAGGGATACGAAGAATTCAAAGATTAGAATTTGGGAGAACACAGAAAGGATGCACCTGCGCCATTGCAAACGATTTTGAGCCATGTCATTCATGGTCTCTAACCATCGGTTGCTATCATCTCGTGGTCCCCAACCAGATAGTCTACACCTACCAATATGACTCAGTCCACTTGTCAGTGACTTCATGGACTTGTGCCATGTTTTGGTTTGGCCGCCCCTAGCTTTCTTCCAACCTACTCCTATACCACTGAACATAGCACGTCGAGGCAGTCGGTCGTTGGGCATACGTAACACGTGTCCCAGCCATCTCAACTGATGAAGTTTCACTACGTCATCAATTGATTTGCCATCCTTACCTAGTACCCGTTTCCTAACAACTGTGTTACTTACTCGATGGTCCCATGATATACGAGCAATGTTTCGAAGACACCTATGATCAAATACTAGTAGCCTACGGATGTCCTCTACTCTTACCGGCCATGTTTCACTGTCATAAAGTGGGACGGAACGAACTGCTGAGCAGTAAACACGTCCTTTGGTTGATAGACGCATATCTTGCCTACGCCATAAGTGACGCAAGTTGGCAAAAGCTAGTCGAGACTTCTGTATCCGTGCTGAGATTTCGTCACACACCAGACCACAAGGGCTGATGAGACTTCCAAGATAAGTGAAGCGATCGACACGCTCAATTACTTCACTCCCTATCATTAGTTCGGGTGTCAATGCAGCCCAATCCTGAAGCAACATTTTGCATTTCGAGAATGGGGAGAATCGCATCCCGAACATACTTGCATTGTTGCTTAGAGTGGTCAGAAGACTCTGCATTTTGTCAGCGTCTTCGCCAAATAAAACTATGTCATCAGCATATTCTAAGTCAACAGGTGAACCTCCCGGCAGAAGTTCAACCCTTGGAAATTTAGATGAGGAAAGTGTCATCTCTAAAAGCACGTCAACGACAAAGTTAAACAAGAATGGAGAGAGTGGACAGCCCTGACGAACACCACTTGAGGAAACCAAATCTGATGACAGTTCGCCATAAGCTCTCACTCGACCAGTTGTGTTTGAGTAGAGAGCCTTTATAAGGTTAATGTACTTCTTTGGTACTCCTTTCAGTGATAAACACTGCCATAGAACCTCACGATCAACAGAGTCGAATACTCCTTTAAGGTCGAGAAATACTACGATTGTGGGGCGTCTGAATGTGTCTGTGTTCTAGGACCTGACGTAGTGTGAATATATGGTCTATACAACCACGTCCAGGTCGAATACCGGCCTGGTTTTCTCTAGTCTGCTCCTCACAAGCTTTGGTTAGGCGTCGAAGTATTATTGAAGCTAACATTTTAGACACTATATTAGTCAAACTGATTCCTCTGTGATTGTCACAAGAGGACTTTTGTCTTTTCTTATAGACTGGCACAATCAATGATTGAGACCAGTCAGATGGGATTACGTCCAGTTCCCAAATTCTACCGAAGACCTCGGTTAATCTCACTGCTAATACTGAACCACCATCCTTAAAAATCTCAGGAGTAAACCTGTCAGGGCCTGCTGCTCTCCCTCACTTCAGATTTCCTATGGCTTTTCTATAGCAGAGAACAATGATCACTTATAACAAAAGACTCCACGTCGTGGGCATTTATACATAAGTATCTCAATAGTACTATTTTTGCGACAAAACAGATGAATGATCATTCTGGAGTTATGTACGGAGGGCAATGTAAGTCATTTGATATTATAGTTAATTAAAAATTCCCTGTATCTTATAACGAAACTCTCCACCGTTTCGGAAGTTTGGTTTACATCAGTTTTTATCATTACATCATTCCAACAGTACATGTAATTTTATTCTACACCTCTTCAAATATGGATGTCTGAAAACTCTCAGATCACTATTGTCTTCCAACAGTTGTCTTAATATCATTATGTAAAAATATTGTGGGATTCGGCGACACATGTCCAGGCGTAATTTTCCTGCTTCTGTTTGCTCAGCCGGGCATTATTCCGGCCCTTACACAAATTGAATGACGAAGTGTGGCGCATATATGTTTGGTGCCTCCTTGTACTAATGAAGTAGGTCCCCCAACTCTAGCAGAAGTTCAAAAGGCTATAGTTAATCTGAGACGAGGAAGAGCAGCTGGCCCAGATGGATTGGCTCCAGAGGTCTTTAAGGATTAGGTTGACTAATATTTTAGCTAAGATCTGGGAGTTAGACGTTATTCTATCTGAATGGTCAAAATCGTCCCAATATATAAGAGAGGGTTAAAATCATCCTGTGACAACCATAGAGGGATTAGTTTAACTAATATAGTATCTAAAATAATAGCCTCGATAATTATCAGACGCCTAACTAAGACTCGTGAACTTCAAACACGAGAGGATCAAGCTGGTTTCAGACCTGGTCGTGGCTGCATCGACCACATATTCACCATTCGTCAGGTCCTAGAACATAGGCATACTTATCGGCGTCTGACAATAGTGGTCTTTCTTGACCTAAAAGCAGCATTTGACTCGGTAGACCGCGAGATCCTGTGGCAGTGTCTGTCATTGAAAGGCGTACCTCAGAAGTACATGAACCTTGTGAAGGCTCTTTATTCGAACACTACTAGTCGAGTCAGAGCTTATGGCGAACTGTCATCTGCTTTTGCAACCTCAAGTGGTGTCCGTCAAGGCTGTTCACTTTCTCCATTTTTGTTTAACTTAATCATAGACCTACTGATAGAAATAACATTCTCATCTACTGAATTCTGGGGTATTGATCTCCTTCCAGGAGGTCCACTTATCGACTTAGAATACGCAGATGATATAGTCCTGTTTGGTGAAGACGCTGATAAAATGCAGAGTCTTTTGGTAGCACTAAGCAACAATGCCAGAATGTTTGGAATGGCTTCTCGCTCTCTAAATGTAAGTTGTTGCTTCAGGACTGGTCTGCATCAACACCTGAACTAAGGATAGGGAGTGAAGTAGTCGAACGAGTTGACAACTTCACTTATCTTGGGAGTCTGATCAGCCCTAATGGATCGGTGTCTGACGAAATCTGAGCACGGATTCGAAAAGGTCGCTTGGCTTTTGCCAACTTACGTCACCTATGGCGAAGGCGAGATATCTGTTTATCAATAAAAGGACGAGTATACTGCGCGGCAGTCCGTTCTGTTTTAATTTACAGCAGCGAAACATGGCCATTAAGAGTAGAAGACACTCGTAAGCCACTAGTATTTGACCACAAATGCCTTAGAAATATTGCTGGCGTCTGCTGGGATCACCAGGTAAGTAATAGTAAAGTTAGACGCAGAGTATTAGGGAACGATGGTAAGCCAGTTGATGAGGTTGTGAATCTCCTTCGACTGAGATGGTTGGGCCACGTGTTACGTATGCCCGAACACCGATTACCACGACGTGCAATGCTAACCGGTGTTCGGGATGGTTGGAAGAAAGATAGGGGCGGCCAAACCAAAATGTGGCATCAGTGCTTGAAGTCACTAGCTTCTAGTCTGAGCCATGTTGGTAGATGCAGACTACTTGGTTAGGGTCCGCGTGACGATCGTAACCAATGGTTGGAGACTCTTGGTGACATGGCTCAGAATCGATCACAATGGCGTCGGTGTATACTCTCCCTGTCTTCCCTTAAACTAAGAGATTAAAATCGCTTCATATCTTTCTTTCTACGAACTAATTCTTTCTTCCTGTACTATATCCTTATTGCAATATTTCTTTTATATATTACCACCATTGAAGTGACTACTCCTATGAATCCGGTTGTTGTGTTAATGAGGTATGACAACTTGGACCGCTGCATATATGTGCCTGGTCCTACGTTGTAGCTGACTGACTGACTAATTTTTATGTGTTTAAATAAATAATAGTAATAGACGTAATAGTGAAGATTTCGTAAGTGTTGCTACTTTGAAAATCGAACTTTGTTCACTTGTTTTGCATACAAAGTTCCAACTGCTTTAATGCTGCGCATTATTTAGTGATTCTGGTTAAAAAACCGGCGAACCTGTTATTTCACGACATATTGCCACAGAATAATGGATGATATAATACATGCTTGATTCCCTGGGGTTTTATAGTCTCGAGACGGTCGGAAGTCAATCAGAACAAATGTCAGTTGAGTTCTTGTCTGGGTTTTTGATTATGTTCATAAACAGCAGTGCCTAATTTCGTAAGATATAAGATTACTGTTGGGTGCTTTGGGTGACCAAATGTTTCTTCACTCATGTGTTTCATACACCTTATTTATTTATTTATTTGAACACATGAATGTTGGCACAAAGGGGCACTGAATGCATATGCACCACAAGCCACTTGATTTGTATGTGGGCTATGATATTGCGCAGGTGCCCAGACCAAAGCAGGTGGTTTCCTTAGGAAGCCACACCCGGAGCCTTTGACCAGAAGGTCTGATCCACAAGGCAGTGGAGCATCGTAAGAAGATTCAGTCCCATGGTAGCTGGTGACCAACGATTGGTTCATATGCCACTTGTTCCCTCAGAGTACTGGAGCCATGTGCACCATGGGTTTGGAATCAGGGTTTTCCAACTCCACTAGGTGGACTCTCTTTGTCCACCAACCCGCTTAAAGCTCCGGACATCGGCTTTTCGTCCTCTCAATTTCGTAAACAACATCCCCGCAGCAAGAAGGCAATGAGTAGGATTTACTTGTCAGCGGCTGTGTACGCGTATCCATGTGAGAGCATTTCGAGAGGGAGAGCTGACTCTTCCCACTCTCGGTTGTACCAGGGATCGCTTTATTTTGTGGCTCCTTATTCCCACTAATCCATGAAGTCACTGACAAGTGGACTGAGTCATGTTGGTAGGTGTAGACTATCTGGTTGGGGACCACGAGATGATAGCAACCGATGGTTAGAGACCATGAATGACATGGCTCAAAATCGTTTGCAATGGCGCAGGTGCATCCACTCTGTGTTCTCCCAAATTCTAATCTTCTGAATTCTTCATGTCCCTTTTTTCCTCTTTCCAAATTTATTTCACTGGATTATACTCTTTAAATAACATTTCCAAACCCTAATCTTCCCGATTACTGCTTATACTCTTATTACCTCTACCACTACGGGATTTGAATCGACCACTGCATCTCTGTGCTAATGTGGTGTGGCAACTCGAACTGATGTACGTACGTACGAAGTTCTACGTTGTGACTGACTGATTATATAAAACGTTTTATGTTGTGTAAAATATTCGTTAAATCCATAAAGGATGAAGTTGTTAAATAAATAAAAGCTGATATATTTCTATGTAAGAAAGGAAGCAAAGAAGACAGATAGGGATTTGCCATATACCAAAAATAAATCGAAGATATGTCTGAACACTGTTTTTTTAATATATTTTTTACACTGATCAGTAATCAGATTTCGAATAGGTAAATTGAGTAGCACTTGAAGTTAATTAGTATGTAACTTGCTGTATGTGCACAATTTACAATACCATAAGTTGGGCGACCACGAACTTTTGAACCACTGTCCGGTTCTACCAAATTCATCTTAAACAGGTCTTAATTTCTCCTTTACCAAGTATTGAGCTTTACTTTACGTCTTAAATTAAAGTTAAAATGGAGACTGACTTTGAAATCGCTTTTTTTCTGAGGTGCTACAAACTGAAGACTAAGGGAACTTCGCAGTCAATATTTCAGTTAACTGTTTTTACCAGCTTTAAGATTTTTATGTATTTTATCCAGTAACTATTTGATTTCACCAGTTATTTGTACAGTCTATAACATCAGATAGGTGAAGCTACTTTGCTCCTGACCTCATGAGGATCACTGTTTACATCGACGTAATGGTTCATAATCAAGCAAAATCACTCAAATTTACTCTTGTTTTGTAAATCTTCAATACTTATTACTTTCTCTACCTACTGTCAATCTTCTAGTTATATTCTAACTTTATAAGCCTAACAGTTTACTACTTGTTCTTTTGGGTAAATTAACCTATTATGTAAACTGTCTGTTAGCTTCTAGATAAATTTTTACAAAAAGTGTTTGATTTCTTAAGTGATTGCATGTTGGAAATCTCTTCTTATTATTTAACTGATTATCAAACTTTAACATCCTTACAAATTTATGTTGTAGGGTTGGCATCCCTGAGTCCTATTTCTATAATGATGGTGTATTCTGTATGGAGGAGGATATTAGCTCTCCTGTGAAATTCGGGCTAACAGTTGCTCCAATTCATGAAACAAATACGTTATGTAGAGTGTGTACAGATATCATATGTGTATTGCTTAACCAGTCTTTTATTCTGGATATTGATTTGGATACTTTTTCCACTCAAAACCCACTTTCTAATAAGTTTACAGAGGAACAAGTAAGCTGTCATATTTATGTATTTCAAATTCGGATGTTATTATATCTCTGCAGAATAAATTCGAAATTACATATCTATCGATTATCAATAAAACATTTTACTATTTTTCTATCATTCAGAGCATGTAATGTTTCAGAAATTACCAGTAGAATAAATCTCAACCGTGTGCTATTTTCTACAATTGCATTTCCTAGGTGTATGATACTCTTACGAAACCTTTGCATGACATCCAAATATGGTTGTTCATTTGGCTACATCTGACCCATATAATAGATCCTCACAACTCACCGTTCATATACCTTAAAGTTGCCATGCCAACTTATTTTAATCTCCCAGGTGTAGTGCTAGCGATGTAAATCTTGATCACAACTAGTAAGAGAAAATTAAGCTAAGAATTACTCATTAATTTTAAACGTGACTTCCATCTGTGTGATTTTCAAATGATTTTGTGTCCAAGTGATAATTATTCGGTTCGATAATTTTCGTAATTAATAATCGCTGAACTTATATGATACGTAAATAAATACACTCAAATGTGATTTGATTTTTTTAAAACGTCTTTATTAAATAAATCTCTCATTCAAAATAGTTGCGTTTAAGAAAGAAATAAGCTATAGTATCCGTGTTTGAAGTATTAGCATAAGTGCGGTCACCTCAACTAAATTACAGGTATAGCTTCGACTTTGAAATAGGACAGTGCAGTTCTGGTCTCGATAACTATCGATAGTTTCACTTGAACTATTCAGTTCAATATTACTTGTAAACACCTGTTGCCCTCTGTTTCACTAAGTACAGTCCAAATAAAACTCAGACACATATGTAGTCATTGTACCATCCAACTAAATGTCTCCGTAGAATTACTTTTAAGTGTGGATTTTCGTATTCCATTTCAGGAAACAACGATTAGTAGTTTTTCTGTTATTGTACTGTGACAACCGTCTGTTTATAATGAGTATCAAAATCAAATTGATTGAGATACATTGGTTATCACGATAACCAATTGCACGAGCAAACTGTATTACCATCAAAGTCGTCGGAGATCAACAAAGTGGTGTCACTCCAGGATTGTATATTTGAACTCCGACCATGCTGTAGTATTAACAAGTACAACTGTACGCTTTGTTGGCAGTTGGGAAGTATGGAATAATAATACTTCTATAAGGTAGGGTCATGAATAAATCTAATAATAAAGACATATCTAAATAAGAACAAACTAGGCACTTAGTTGAAGCATGAAATCTCCTCTGAGATGTCCTGGGATGATCATAACTGGTGTAAAAACGTCTGTTATCAACATTGAGTTAAAAGTCAAAAATTAAGTATATTTGCGCAGCTTTTTAACTGACGTCTTTAAAAGCTCATAAGTAGTTATAACCAATCTGAAATGCAGAAGAACAACAGATTTTGGCTGAATAACTTTACACATCTTTAAGAATAGTGATCTATAGTCATGATCTGAAATAATTGATCTCAATCACTGACCTTCCTAGGTTACATAAACAAACAGGCTTCTTATCAATAATCAATAGTTAGACTCCTGTTCATCTATCTAAGACTGACTCATATTTTCCCATTTTGTTACAAAAAGTGGTTAGTTGATGAAGAATCGTAAGTGGAGTTTCAGAGCACTAACTCATTTTTCGAAATAATAACAACAGTTTTCTTCCAGCCATATTACTTGGTTATTTTTATTTACTTAATTTAGCTGAAGTTTAAATTAATTGTTTGTAATATAACGGGCGAATAGAAGTATTTCCTGCTTGCCACGATATACTAATATTATAAGATGATACAGCTGGTGATCGAAATTATATTACCACTAGACTGGATCACGTTATACTGAATACGCGATTTACGATCATACATAAAGAATTAGAGCGTAGGCTAAACAATACTTTATTCGACACAATTACAGGGAGTCTGTGTTTAGTGAATCCAGAGTAGAAATTGTTATTAGAAAGGAAGTCACACATTAAACAGTAAGTGTTTACCTGTCTACAATCAGCGATCACTCACATCTTACTTTTGCTAGCCACACATCAGTCTGATAGTAAGTCCCTTTAATACTTTGCAAGGGTTTTTATTGGACCCATACACTTACAACCAATTAGTAGTATTGATATTTTAAGCTGTGATATATTATTCTTTCAAAACTATCTTTGATTTTAGTTCGAAATTATCGATCGCTTGTATGCTCCACCTCCACCACTTACTTTGTGTTTGTCTCCGAAAGATTTGGAAGATCCAGCCGTTATTGTGGCTCATGGTATGAGCAGTGCTCATGTTCTAAATGCTGCTCGAAAACGTCAACTAACACGTCTTTCACAATGGATTTCTTGCTGGGATCGTGGAACAATTCCATCAACTGAAGATTTTCTTCTATTTCCGTATGAATTAATGGAGTTTTCTCGATTAATCCTCTCTCTGACTGAACAGAAATTTAGTTCTACTGTCTTAAGAGCAGTTAAAAAGACTCTAGATTTAGCTTACAAACAAACTACTCATAACAAAAATCCGCCATTGATTTCACTCGGTTCCGATGATGAAACCATTCAAAATGCTTTAAGTAAGTTTTTCTTGAAGTACAATAAATTTAAGCTTCAAACGTTTAACATCATTTTTATTTCACCCACGAATTACTCAACTTTTTAAAATTTTTATAAAAAGGTTTTTCTTTGTAAGTCAATATAAATAGTGAAAGAACAAACTGAAGCGAAACGAGTATTAGTTTGCTAGTTGCTTTTTGGTTACTTTGAAATGTACATTTTATTTATTCATTTTTTCAAAATATAGTAATTTGGTCAGTTAGAAACAACGTAGAACTTCGTACGTACGTATATCAGTTCGAGTTGCTATATCACATTAGCACAGAGATTCAGTTGTCGATTCGAATCCCATATTCGTAGAGGTAGTAAGAGTATAAGCAGTAATCGGAAAGATTAGGGTTTGAAGATGTTATTCAAGAAGTATAATGCAGTGAAATAAATTTGGAAAGAGAAAGAAAAAGAAAGGGATATGAAGAATTCAGAAGATTAGAATTTGGGAGAACACAGAGTGGATGCACTTGCGCCATTGCAAACGATTTTGAACCATGTCATTCAAGGTCTCTAACCGTCGGTTGGTATACTCTATCCTATGTGTTCGTGAATATGATAGACCAGTTAACATGTGTCACAAGATTTTTAATTTAACCTTCAGTTGCCGTCTACTTTTTAACTGATATTATCTTTTAATATTATAAATATATAACATCCTTCATTCTGTATAGTGTTCAGTATTGTTAACAATAATCGTCATCTTTGCTGAACTGTAAGATTAACTAGATTTCGGGATCATTTTAGATATTGTGAAGTTCTTTCAAACTATCTTTAATTTAAAGGAAACTTAAATTTAGCTTATAGATCAATTGAAACTCAAACAAAAGTTATCATCCGTGGTGAAGAAATTATAAAATTGTAATATCTCGGTGATTGAGAAATTGGATTTCTGACGTTTCACGGTTGTTTCTTCACAAACTAAATGCATAACAAATAAACCAATACAAATTTAAATAGTTCATAAGGTGAAAAACAATATGTTTAGTTCAATTAAATTAAGTCGGGTCACTTTCATGTCATTGTGATCAAATGTGATTCTTTACGAGATATACTTATGTGTATTCTAGTGAGTGTGAAAAAGTATTAGGTTTGTAGTGTTGACGAGCGGAGTTGAGTAGTTGTGTGTTTATTCATCAGAAATATGTGATTCGATTTGGGTCATAGACAAATAAGCAATAATAGACCATACATATGGTTTCATTGATAGTACCATCCGACTACATATCTGGCTCAGATAAGTAAATGATAAAATTATCGTTATTAAAAAGGCTTTTTTAAGAATATTCTGCAGTGTTAAATATTAACTTAGCTTTAATCAAACTTATTTAATGAATGGAAAATAAACTCAATGAAGTACTATTTCTAAACTATTTGGTCGAAAGGGATTCTAATGCGAATCTAACTCTGACCGTGTGCTGAAAACGGAAAAATTCAAATTGGCATATTGACTTTAACTCAATGCACCCATTCAGTTCACAAATCTCGCTGTTTGTAAATTTATTCAAAAGAGCAACCAAAATTATTACATCGTAACAAGAGAAACAAATCAAAGCGAAGAATATAGTTAGCATTCTACAGTTTCGGAATTTACTCATGAATATTATTTAAAATGTACTAAAATCTAATGATCTGTTGTTAAGTAATGAGTCAAATGTAATATCATGAGTTGGCACTGTAGTTTTACTCTATCGCCGCGATACAACAGAACTGCAACATATCTTTAAACTACAAAGAATTAAAGCTTTCTATCAGATGACAAACATGCTTCAGAACGCTTTAATTTAAATAAACGAAAGAATCCATTACTCCTCGACACATAATTATATCTACAGATTAGGATTTTTAGATTTTGATGGTTCCTATATTAGATGGTTATGTTATAGTGAGTTCTTTGGCAAAATGTGAAGACCATACGTTCAATACTTCATTTGCAAATCCCCCATCGATTGTCTCAAATTTCATCGCTTTTTCATTACTATAACAATTACTAACTGTTCCCGTTTTCTTTTATTCGATCTTCCCAACTTGTTGCTGCCAGGCATTTCACCTCTGATTTGTGTTGTATACTACTTATGTCGACACAAATAGAAAACACCACAATGTCGTAAAAGCGCGACTCACACCAAGGAAGATTTAAGCTACACAAAAGACCTCTTAATAATCCTGTTGAACTTGTGAATCTTCGAATCAAATCAGCAGTATGAGTACATTCAATTCTGAACGCCCACCAAATCGATATTAATAATTCAAAAACGCTTTTCCAACTGTAAAGGAATGTGAGCGGCTGAAGCTCTTTATATATTGCTGAACCCCACTGCATACAAAAAAACGAAAAAATAACTATCCATCCAATTTGTATTATTTATTTATAAAACCACATATTTATTTCTGTTCACATCTCACACCGCTAAAAAACATACAAATATTAAACTCTGTTCGTAAACAGTACAAGTATCATACTTTTTCACACTCACTAAAATACGCGTATGTGTGTCTCATAAAAAATCACGTTTGATCGCACTAACATGAAAACAATCCGATTTATTTTGATTGAACTAAAAATATTTTCAAGTGTTATGATGGTTCTTGAGTTTCATTACAACCACAAACCCATCAATCAACCATTGAAGACTTTGAATTACTAGATGGTCGTGTGAGACCGGAGGCTCTGGGTTCGCTTCCCGCTTGCGCAATCGTTGATGTATATAGATAAGAAGCCCCGTGCTAGGATGAAATGACCGTCCAGTGATTCCAGGTTTTAAATGGTGGTCTAACACTGATCAATTCTAGATTTCAATAAATATATGCTGCTTGGTTCTTATGTACTATTTGAACTTGTATTGGTTTAATTTGTTAGTTGTTTGTTCTGTCAAGAAACGACTCAAAGTAAACCGCAAATCTTTAGGAATTTAATTACCCACTCATTAGGATATTGCGAATTTATATTTCATTACTAACAATCTACTCAATGCTCGATTTGTTTGGTATGATCAGGTCACACCTTGGCAATAATACATACCAATTATTGTGGTTAGTTTGTTTAAGCTTATAGGTTAGGCTTACTGTTTTATAATTTGGAATTAAGTTTTCAAGAGGGATTGGATAACTCACATAATGTAACCAGTTGTTCGTTGAATTTGCGTCCTAATTACTGTTGTACCAAATGCTTAATCGTAATTTTACTCAATACAGATGGTGTGTTTAGGCGATGTGACTGTTGACTTCGGAAATTAGGTAGAAATATTACAGTTGTTTATATATTACAGACGAAGTAGCTGAGACGAATGATTTAAGCAAATTTTCTATAGGAGTTACTTCCTAAATTATTATTGTATTTTTGTATATAGTTACTTGGTTATTCCACTGTGGAATTGCTTGGTAGTTAAAACTTCGTTTCTTAAACTTGTATAGATATATATTCCATTCCAGGAGAATTCACTAAGGGCCCTGATTCCAACCTGACCAGCAGCTTACTTTTGGACCAGAACACCTCGGAAAGTAAAGATTCTTCATTTGTATCGGATTACACTAGCCTTATACCAATGAAACGTCGTTCCAGTAGTCCTGGCAGTGTATATACAGATTCAAAATCTAAACTTCGTTCATCCGAACCATTTGTAACATTTATTAATACGAGTCCGGCTGAAGTTGATGAAAATTGTCAATCGTCAAACACTTCTCAGTATTCTATGGAAGTAGATGATGCGGATACTTGTAATCATAATGGTTTAAATGAAAATCGTAGTTTAAAAGTAGTTTTAACTAAATTGGAAGCAAATTCAAACACATCTTGTATAATTGATGATGACAATGAGGGTGGTGATGTTCTAAGTGTTCAACAATCTGCTCCTCCTCTATCAAATAAATATAGTGAAGAAAATCTGAATTTTATGCATTACTTATGGTCTGGGTGCGCAGATCAAAAATACAATGCATTGCCACATTCTGTAAGTTTAATTATTCTATACTTTTTCAAATAACTATCAACTGAACACCAATACTATTGAAAATTTGGCATATATGAATGTCACCAGGTGGAGTTCGAGATAAAAGTATGCAAACGTGTGGATTAAATAATAGAATAATATGAGAATCTTGATGAGTGACACAATTTTAAAAAAGCTATATCAAATATGTTAATGTTATGAAAGTTAGAATAAACACAATAAATTCAAAAATAACCGTAACGTATTTTCAACAATACAGTATTGCTGTGGTGTGTTTTACTGATGTCGACAGATATAAGTAGTATGTGTCATCAACCGAAAGCGGAATGCCTGGCGGCAGAAGGTTGAGAAGATCCAAGAGAAGAAAATGAGAACAGAGAGTGATTGGTATATGAAAATGAAGAAACAATAAATTCTAAGACACCTGATGGACATTTCGCCAATGAAGTATTTACTGTATGGTTTTCAGATTTTAATAAAAGATTCTGTAATTTCGCATTCAAATATATTTGGTTGGTTCACTACATTGTAACATAAAATATAGAATTCTTCACTCATACATGAATACAAAATATTACTACTATTTTGACAATGATTTTTTAAAAAGGTGTCATAGACAAAAATTCTATAGTCCAATTAATCATGTATGATTTGTTTATGACCAACAGACAGATATTTTCAGCATGGAGTCTGACATATGTGTGTTGGGTCAAGTTGCTGCAGTACATTTGTACTTAGAGATTTTGTTTTTGAAACTTAAATTATTGTATGCTGATAAATCTTCTAAGTGAACGCTAGATTTGGCTTCCTAAGGTCTTCTAGTAACCCCCAGGCTAAATCTACACAGCAACCTGAACACGAAAGAAAAGGCATGGAATATGGAAAAAACGCTTTTCTCCAAGGTTAATTTTTGTACAGAAAAACTAGGATATTTATAGCATTTTAGATGGCCTTGGGCTTCCATAGAATTCTCGAACATTACTAAACATAGTATCATTAAAGGCAATCATTCAATCAGAGACACAACGTGTGACTTTTCGTTTTCTAGATGTTTCTGGCAAAATTTCTATTGAATGGTGATTGCATAAGATGTTTCTCAGCGTTTCCAGAGCTTTCTTCAAATTACCTTTTGTAGGTTAAATTAATTTTAGATGAAATATGCTGTAGTGGGGGTTTTCCTGTTCATTAAAAGTCTTTTTCTATTTCTTAGATAACCACTCCTAAAGAACAGAATGAGTTATGTGAGCAAATGGAAGGTTTGTTAAATCGTTTACACAATCCTTGTATGATTACGATTGCTAGATCTGTGTGTGATGGTTATACTCCTACTGATCAAGTATCTACCATACAACTCGGTTTATTACAAATGCTTGATCGTGTTTATGGGCGTAATTTGCTTTCAGTCACTTTAGATTACGAAAAGTAGGTATTTTTTTTTCTTGATTTCTCTTACAATTTATAAATTGGTCATTTTTGTCTGCAATTATTATGTCGTCCCTTATACAACTTATCAATAACTTATTGACTAGATTCTTTGAACAAAATATGAATTCATACAAGTTCTTTAAACTCTTTATATCTCCAGAACAGTAAAACAAGAGAATACATTAACAAGAGGAAGAACATGTGAGAAAGTATCGACCTTCACTGAAGGAGCACGGAAAAGTGAAATGAGGTGTGGATGAGTTAATTGCTCGTGATCTAAAATAGAAAGGGAACTAATTATCACATTTATTTCACTTAATAATTTTAAGGTATTCCGCATTACTACTCATAGGAAAAGTTAGTTTGGTTCCATTGACACAGATATCATTTATTGATCTTCATGTGGATACAGTTCGCAAAAATACATCAATATGTTGATAGACAAAAATAATGTCAAAACTGAAATAGATGTGATATTGTCACATTTCATAGCTGTACAACTAGAGGAAGCCAGCCAAAAAAACGAAGGAACTAAAATGATTGTTCCCATAGGAATATGAAATTAAAAGTGGGATAATTTACAGTTAAAAAGAAACAGAGAAAAAAGGAGTTAGAGAAGTATGAAGTAATACTTCATATGAGATTCGAAGAAAAATATCTTCAGTGTAACAGGCGATTTTCAGTCGTATAATGTAAACTTCTTGAATGTGAATCAAAATTATACAAACTGAGATCAAGAAGTACACATCTCCACTTACAAACTGTTATAGCTTGTCAGTTGAATGCTGCCTGTGATATCTGGTCGTCGATGATTGTTGTGTCGGAAATGCTTATCACTTATACTCGGAACGAGGACCTCTGCGATTCCCACGACGCGAAAGTAAGAACACAAAGACGTATAAGTGAAGATTTATTAACCCCAAAACACGACGACGATCCTAGTCGAAAATACACTCATTTATATATTGATTGTACACACACTTTGATTAACAATTAAGATGAAACCACATATATGAAAAATACTTAGTTATAAAAAATCACATACTGAGCATAGTTCATGTCAATGGAATACAAGAATATCGCATATTATACAGAATAAGATGTCATACGAGAAAAGAAAACAAATGCTACATTGCGTAATCATTACATTGAATCAAAACGGAAGTAATGTTAAACAAAACTCATAATGAGTTAATCAATCGAAAATTGACTTTTCTTTCCTTCTTATCACCTTGCCTTCTTTTTCTTGAAGACTCTATGTTGAGATCCATCTTTAAATTTTATGACTTCACAAACCGGAACAACAGTCAAGGGCTATGTCTAGTCATACTTTATCTTGATATAGTTTCAAATGACATCCTACATATTTTTACGCTGACAAGTATAGTTCAGTAGGTTGATCGATGCCTAGATATGTGTTCCATATGTGTTAACCGTTCTAATTTGCAAAAATCTCACAATCCCATTAACGGAATATCTCTTACTTTAACCCAATATTGTATACACAACTTCACTGCTGTTCCGTCGATACTCGTATTGTAAGCGATATGGATGAATGCACACAGTACTTATACACATCAAGTTAGTTATTTGAATAGAAAAATATTAACACTTACACGTGTCTTTCACTGACCTTTTTTGTAAACGTATTCACCATCTTAACCGATTAATCACGAAGTACTGTTTCGCATGAATTATCATTCTCTAAATTCTCCTCTTGAAATAAAAACAAAAGAAACTTCTGTTGTATGAGTAATCACCAATACAGAACATTTATAATGGTGATTTGGCTTTTAGCTGTTATATCTGTCTGATTGAATAACATTTCATTCGGTATACCTCAGAAGATTTAAAAATCAATTCGATTTTCACTATTTGATTCATCCGGAACAGTCGTAATTGACTGATATATTTACATGTTGAAGAAAATGGAGTTAAGTATTAAAAATTACGATTTTGTTCTACTGAGTATTGCTTTTTTCAGTCGCTTATTTAGAGGAATAAGCGCAAGCCACAAAATGTTTTTTGGGCACATTAATTTATTTGTATTTAAAATATTCATTTCGTAACTCTACTTTTCAGCTGTATCATTGTCCAGTTTGATCTATTTTCTCATACTTAAGGGATTTGTCTATTTTAACGACAACGAATTCTGTGCACTTCATGTTGGAGAAGGTGGACTTTTTAGCGCCCTCAAATGCCCTGGTACGACCGAGAGTGGGGAGAGTCCACTCTCCCTCTCGAAATACTCTCACACGGGCATGCGTGTATAGCCTCTGCCAAGGAAGTCCTGCTCATTGCCTTCTCGTCGCGGGGGTGTTGTTTACGGAATTGAGAGGACGAAAAGCGAATGTCCGGAGCTTTAACCGGGTTGGCGGACATGGAGAGTCCACCTAGTGGAGTTGGAAAACCGTAATTCCAAACCCATGGTGCACATGGCTCCAGTACTCTGAGGGAACAAGTGGCATATGAACCAATCGTTGGTCACCAGCTACCATGGGACTGAATCTTCTTACGATGCTCCACTGCCTTGTGGATCAGACCTTTAGGTCGTAGGCTCCGGGTGTGGCTTCCTAAGAAAATCACCTGCTTTGGTCTGGGCACCCGGGTAGTATCACAGTTATCAGTAAAAATGCATTTCTCAAAAATACTACTATTCTGATACCATATAGGTCGTTTGGCTTAAATTTGTGAATTGTGGTAATAACGATGTCCATTTGAGAAATCTGAAGTCCATTCAGTTCCAAAGTTGATTTTGATACATACAACCAATTAAATTACAGTATGTAAAATATTATTGTTTGCTAGCCAGTAATCTGCGCATCTGTCTACTAATTTTAAATAATTCAATAGAGTTTGTGATGTGACTTAATTTATTGCCGAAACTCCTATATTAGAAAGGCATCAAGTTTTGAACTATTTCTCATTTTTGGATTATCAATTTGTTTTCTAAGTTAGTAAATAAAAGGTTCGATGTTAACTTGGAAGTATATTTTAATGATGTTTATTACAATAATTTTAGCTAGAAATCTTTGCGTATACTAATATTTATATACGTATCTAGTGATTCTTTTTTCTGCATCGTTTCAGTGCTGAGAGTGACATAGAAACACTGAATACAATGGGATTTCATATCGTTACTCCAGAAGAATTTCAAATGGGTGGTCGTCGTATATCACCGATGTCGTGCCTCGCAAGATCTGAAGGCACAAGTGTTGCTTATCGTACCGAACCCGGTCGAAAAGAAATAGTTTGATCTTATTTTTCAATCTAAACTGTCCTTCAGAGTTCCATGAACATTCGAAAAACCTGATATTTTAATGGTTTCATTATTTTCAAATGAACTTATTTGGATTTCTTTGGACGATTCACTCTATAAATTAAATGTTCTCTTTTTGTTTGCTCCCATGCATGAAATTGGACGTGGGTGAAAATAGACAGTTCTCCAGATTCTGAAATAAATGGGGATGTCTGTTTCAAGGTTTTTTTCATCATGATCTCAATATTATCTATACTCATCCTACTTTATTTCATGTAACGTTCACCTGGTGCTGTAATCTCTGAACGTGGCGTCATTAAACAAAACGTTTCCGTCACTGAGACGAATGGACTAATGATACTTTATTAGCAGAGAAAATATTTTGTCACCCCCAGGACTACAAGTGACCTTTAGTTCTCATGCTCTACGCCCAATATTTCTGTTATAATGTCCATAGGAATTATCTCTATTCCATAAGAGTAATTCGATATTATATTGATTTGGTCCATAGTTGGACCGAAATCCCCTAAATTTTGTCAGAATAGGGAGTATGTACGGCTTCTTCACCTCACATTACTTGTCGGCCAATGAAACTTGATTCTACAGTGTTATATATACTCCAATGATTATGGATGAGATAGAAGCCTTGGCGTAATGTGTTTTTATGTGTAGTAGCAATTGTTGGACGGTGCGTATACGTAGTGTAGTAGATATATAAGTTAGCCAGAAGCACTTCTGAGATTTTTGTTATGTGTTAAGTTTTGAGGATTGAACCGTGACTAAATGCATTCCAATAACAGCATACAATTTTAGATCGCTGGGATCTAAAACACATAATTCTTGTTTATTAACCATACTTCTGCAAGAGGTGGGTTGTATGCATGGTTTGTAACGCCCTGGAAGTTATTTACTGTAGTCTAGTCAACTCTCATTGGCTTCAATCTACCCTATTTAAGAGTTTCCTTTGGGTCCTCTACGTCACTAGCGAGGGAGTATTCCAGAAGACACTTAGAAGTAGTATTTTTAAAACTTAAAATAATGAGTTGTTGCCCGAATGGGTGTCTATTAGTTCTTGTATTATGAAAAACTAAGTTAATCGCCCTGACCTTAAGTATCTCATTGTTCAAAATATACTTGAATTCAGTAGGTCAACGATGAATGGGTGCATATCTGTGTGAGCTTATTGACAATGTGTGTGGCCAGTCCTATCTCAGGCTTTTAGAGAAGTGAATGTTAAGCCTACACAATTACAACGAAGGATAGTGGTCCACCTTTGGTAGCCTTGATGCAGCACTTTCGAATGCATCATCAGGGTTCCTGACAGTTGTGCATGTTCCGTTTGTAAGCAATAAGACTTTGGGGGTACACAATATATTCCGTTCGACGTTTGTACTTTACGCGTTCCATCCATCTCACACCTTGGATCTTTTGCAGTCGGGACTGTTGTTCATAGGTAGGGAGGTTGTATATCACATACACATGCAAACACGGCCGTCGGAAGGTTCGTAATTAGTAGAGAACCCTCCCTAAGACTAAACTATTGAGACGCGTATCGATAACTGATAGTCGCGTGGGTTGTCTTGTCACCCTATACAGTACTGTTTAGTCTGGTTCACGTACGGTAAGAAAAGTTATCGCTATTTACCTCGAGGGTATGTTATGTCATCCGTTTTTGAATATCAATGTGGTGTGCGTCAGCTCCAAATTATCTATTACCACGGCTTTGTTCCGGAAGTGAGAACAGCATGCTAAGGATTGCTGCAAGAAGTGAGACTGTTGTACAGTAGAATGAATCACGTTCAAGCTAGGAGGTCTGTTCTCATCAAGATGCCGTAGTTTAAGGGTGGACCAGTTACATACATATATTAATTAGTCCCCAGTGAGAATATATATTGCTTTGTCAACAAGCTAATAATTCTACACTCATTAGATTGTCTTTCTGGGTTCATCAAATCCAAGCGTAAATTCTAGCTATCAGGATGTACAGGAAACCTATCTACCCAAAGCTTTCTGGGTGATGAGTCTACGCTATCTTCAATCACGGTTCACTAAGGAGATAGCTGGTTCCGGTTCAGTCTTTTCATTTCCAGTTGTGCATTATTATTTGTCTGCATTCATAAGAATTTTGAGTAATGGTCGGTTATTGTCACCGGAAATGCCTTGCGAACCGCGGTTATTACAAATAGTGCTAGGAAAATGCTTTAACTCGTATCTCGACCTATTGAACAACCTCTAGGTGTAGAATGCATAAAGGCTTCCTTTAATGTGACAAACGTGTCATATGAATCCTTGATATTATTTATATAGTTAACTGTCATCTTTTTCCATGTGCGTCCCTAAATATGCATTTGTTTGCACACGTGTAACTGCCGACCTATTTATCTCATACCTTTTTGAGTATATAAATATTCACTCGTGGGTGCGTACTTCGATTATGTTATATGTTACACTCATAAAGCATTTGTGCATTTACTCTTTCTGTCAATACGTGAAAAATATCAGATTTACATATTATTATGTTACGTAGATTGGTTTAAGAACGAGAAATGAAATTAAAGAGAGATCTGTGCTTCAATGACACGATGTGTTACTAAAAATGATTTTGAACTTGAAGTGTCATTTATTGAATCTTCACTCCTAATCATCATAAACTGGGTCCATTCAGAGTTATATTTGTAAGTGCGACAAACACTTACGGAGTTTCATTTTAAGATATCACTAATTTAAGTGTCATCGGAGTAGGTACATTTAGAAGTGCTCGCATATCACCTTCAGAATTTACAGTCAGTCATATAATATGACAGGCTTTAATATCTGGGCACCAGCAAAGTTAACGCGACAGATTGATTGGTTGGAATTAAAGCATTAAACAAATTTCCAGAAACTGCATGGCTCTGTAGGACCTCGACAACACGAAACGACGTCACAGATTTCTGACGCAGTCTGACTCGCAATCTCGATATTCGTCATAATCGTAGACGCTCTCAAACCATAATAAATATAAGTCTTCTCGGAATTGCAGAAAACTGCAGTTTCCAGAGCTCCGAACAATCCGGTACGCATTGACATCAACCCTAGTCGACGAACATAGCCGCCTGATATACATCACTGATGTGATGACGAAATTTTGCTTGTTCGTCGATACTGGAGCGAAGTAAGCGTACTTCCAACAAAATCTAACAACCAAATTCACGAGGCAGTTTTCAACCTATGAGTGGCAAACAGAAAACCGATCTCCATGTATGGTAAGTGATATGTGTATCTTGAAGTGGGTTTACACAAGCCCAGGACTGTAAGAATTTTTGCGCACACCTTTCGGTTTAAAAATACAGCACAAACTTTCGAAGGACTCATCGATGGTGTCTTTGGACGTCTCAACTTCGTAAACGTGTGTGTAGATGGCTTCTTGGTCACAAGTCAGAACAGAGAATCTCATCTCCACCATCTGGACCTCGTTTTTCAAAGATTCCAAAACACTGCATCACTGTAAGCATTCACAAATATCAAATCAAGTCCGACTCCCTGTATTCCCTCTGACACACCATTACTAGTCAAGGCATTCGCCCCCGTAAAGCAAAGTGGCGGCCATTCTGGATTATCTATATGTGATAATTAGGATTATTTGAATTATAGCACAAACTGGGAATCGAAGAAATTACGTAATTTAATCAAAAAGTATTTGATAGGCACTAACGAATGTACTGGATTTGGAGTTCCAAATCAAGCATTCAACAAGTACAAAGGGATCATTAGTTCATACAAACACTACACCATAGTCGACCATAGTTATTTAAGTATATTCAGCGGCCCAGTAAGTTCCTATCGACGGTTCATACCGAATTGCGCGTCCCTCATGAGACATTTAGCAGACCAACTTCTTGGAAACGCGAAAATCTTTAACTAGGGCGACAACTAGAGAAGTGCATTCTTCACAGCTAGGGAGCTTATCGCAAAAGCAATTTTGCTCGCACAACCTGACATCAAATAACTCATTAGTATCGCATTAAATGCATCCGAATCGACAATCGGAGAAGTCCTGCAACAGTGGGTAAACAACAGCTGGCAACCTTTGGCATTCTCCGCTATACAGATGCAAGACATTGACTTGTAGTGATTCACGTTTATCACGAGAACACGACTGGTTTAATAAAAACAATTATTATTATAACCAACCGTACCAGTGTTTGTTTTAATGTGCTTTTGTTTGACTGTGCTAATGACAGCTATATTGTGCTTCCATTCTTATTCAGACACTTTGATTGTGACTTCGCGCGAATTCGGTTACGTTCTGTAACCAAGCTTGTATCCTGGCACGATCTCGGTATCCTTTCGATGCCACGAGATCGCCAGCAAATAAACCTCGACTTGGTCCATTAATTGCCTTCTGGTATTCGGCTTCTCGGGGATTTTATGGAGTCATTTTAACGAGCTTCTTACGCCTTCTGATTCACTTGGCACGTGTTTCTTGGTAGCGGTGTTCACAGTTAATCTCAACTCGACGCCACGCTACAGACTCGAGGTGTAGCACTTTCAGTAAGGACCTCTTAGATATTATTATTATTGTTGCTGTTATTATTCACAAAAATCTTTTGGGTACATAAGTGTTGTAAAGAAACCATTTTGGGTTTCTTCAAAAATGCACTAATACACAAGTTTCAATAATTTTAGCAGTATATTTGCCATATTTGAAAAAGAGAAGAAATAATAATGATAGTGTAATAATAATAACAAATCAGGTTGTGTGTAATTGAGAAGAATATTGAATTGAAAATTCCCATTTTGCCATTTGGTAAATAAAGAAGGAACGAATTGAGCGAAGAAATTTCTTTTCAATTAGTTTTTCATCATGGCTCTACACTAATATATATATGTTTTACAATAATGATATAATACTCGTCGAGTGGATACGTTACGTAATAATTACATAATGACATTTAAATTAACATTCAGTAATTGGAAGAGAGAGGATTATTAATATTCAAAGTAATCAAGAAGTT